TGCCATTTTCATATTGTTTGGATGTTTGATTGATTAATGTTTTCAAATAGTTCATCATTTCTTGCCTCTAATTATATTTTTAATGTTTATAATTTGAATTATCTAGTGAAAAAAAAAATGAAGTGAAAAAAATTCAAATTAAATGGATTGGTTCTTGGGCCCGAGTATGGCACGAGCACGAGCACGAGCACGGCACGAGCCCGGCCCAGCCCGTTTCAATATGGACATGGGCTTTGGACCGGGCCGAGATCAATAATTTTACTAAATGGGCCGGCACTGCACGGCCCGATAAATTAAATGAGCCGGCCCGGCCCGACACGAAAACATTAAAAGCACGAGTTTAAATGGGATGGGCCGGCACGGCACGGCCCGTTTGACACCTCTAATCACAGTCCTATAAGCTCAAAAGTGGATGCTTCATGTGAGAATGTTCAAACTTCAGAAGAAGTGGATCTTGCAGTTGATGAGACTGAATTTAAGGTTTCCATGGTGACTATGCTGGGAATTGCTTTGTTGGTTTCGGCATTCACCATCTTATTGTTTCTCATAATTTGTGCTTTGTTTCTGCAGGGAGAAGAAGAAATTGTTACTCCAGTTAGGTGCTCGAGCAGAATCAGAAAACAAGTCACCTCTCCATGATGACTGAACAAGATGGTTTCTTCCATTGCGCCATTATGCAATGTAGTTATGAAGGAACAATTAGTTTAGTTTGACTAGTCGTTTGATGATTTGTTATTTTAGGGTGTTTATTGTCTGCTAACGAACCATGTTCAGTAGTTGAATGACTTCGTAATCTTCCGCCATTTTCTAATGGTTCTATTAATGACAGCTTTGTTTCTTCTAAGTGTGCCCCCTTCTTACTTCTCATACTCACATGACTTTTCATTTTGATGCTTAATAGCCAATTTTACTGTTGCACATTTTTTTCTTTAGTTTTCTTTTTTGGTTCTTGCATAAAACTCTCATCATAGGATCGTTGGTTCCCTACCCTGTATATTCTGCAATAAGAAATTCGAATTTGGAATCTCTTCAAAATGTATATACAAAGTTTATAACTATGTTCTATGAGTTCCATTATTAATTCAATATGTGCAGTTGATGACTTGAGGCTTTGCTAGTAGTAAAAAAAAATGGGTACAAAGGAAATCCAACTCATGCATGCACAACCCTACAAAAGGAGGGAAAGAATAACCTTAAAGGCCTCATGGAGTGTAATACCTATACACAGCTCTCTTCAACATGTTGCTATCATATTCCTCCATTACACACTATTAAAAAAAAAAACAGAGTTAAATCATGAGTGATAATCACAGAATTGTCATCTTTATTGGGCTTTTTCTTACTTTGACATCGATTCGAATTACAGATGGTTCTGTTGTTTCAACAGGGGACTTCAACAAGGATTTCTTTGTGACATGGTCTCCTAGCCATGTAAACACTTCAGCTGATGGCAGGGCAAGGAGTATGAAGCTCGACCAAGAATCCGGTATGATCAAAATTCAAAATTCTTTAATTAGTTTTAACATTTCTGAATTCTGATCCTTTGTTTTTCATTATCCTAGGTGCTGGTTTTGCTTCAAATCAGATGTTCTTGTTTGGACAAATTGACATGCAAATTAAACTAGTACCAGGTGATTCAGCAGGCACAGTTGTGGCCTATTATGTAAGTAGAAAACGTTTTCTTCTTCTGCTTTTTTTGTTGTTGCTTATTATTGAGTAATTAACAGCATAAATTTGATCGACTGGAAATTATTTTTAATGCAGCTGACATCTGATCAACCTAACCGTGACGAAGTAGACTTCGAGTTCCTTGGAAATGTGGCAGGCAAACCATATATCATTCAAACAAACATGTTTGCTGATGGATTCGGCAACCGTGAAGAGAGGGTCAATCTGTGGTTTGATCCAACAAAGGACTTCCATACCTATTCAATACTATGGAACCTTCACCAAATTGTGTATGCCATCTTTCAAATGAGCTGATTAGTATTTAATTTGAGTCTTGCTTACATAAGTTTTCTTCTTTAAAAAATCAACAACAAAAAAAAACGATTTGAAGTAATTTTAATGGAGAAACTTGGTGTACTTTTGCTTGTAGGTTCATGGTGGATTGGGTTCCAATCAGAGTATACAGAAACCATGCAGACAAGGGTGTAGCATTTCCAAGGTGGCAGCCAATGAGCATAAAAACCAGCCTATGGAACGGCGTCAGCTGGGCGACAAGAGGCAAGGACAAAACTGATTGGTCAAAGGGCCCATTCATAGCTTCATTCAGAAACTACAAGATTGATGCCTGTGTTTGGAAAGGAAATGCAAGGTTTTGCAGGGCAGAGAGCCCTACAAACTGGTGGAACAAGAAGAAGTTCAGCACCCTAACAAAAACACAGAGAAGGTTGTTCAAATGGGTTAGAAAGCACCACATGATTTATGAGTATTGCCAAGACAAACAAAGGTTCCAAGGCAACCTTCCGAAGGAGTGCTCTCTGCCTAAGTATTGATAAATTAAAGAAAACAAAAAACCATTTAATTTTATTTTAGTGTTTTTGCTTTTCTCTATCTTATTGTGTAGCAAATTATTATTTCTAGGTTAGAAATCAATAATCATATAGAGGTTGTTCGTCAGAGAGGAATTTAAAGCTCAATTACTTGAAGCATTCAAATGAATCATAGACTTGGAAGTAAAGTAACCTTTTTAGTTTTCTGTCTTTGGATTTGTAATATACCAAAATGTTTCTTCACTTTTTGGGTTTTTTTGGGAATATGCTGCTTTCACCTCATTCTTTAATAGAAGCGTGCATGTGGGGAAGGAGGAGGACATTGTTGAGAGAAACCTTGAAAATTTAAATTCCATGTATATATGAAAAGGTAAGAAGGTGTAAGTCTTTCCGGCTCGAGGTTGTGGGTCTGTCCTGACGTTAATGGTGAGAGTAGTCAATCTACCCCTAGACTTTTTGTCATATATAAAAATAAAAATAAAAATAAAATAAAATAAAGGTAAGAAGGATGCAGGAGCCAGTTAAGAACATCAATGTTAATGAGCCTCACAACTTTACATGAAAGTTAATCTAGTTGCTTTTAACTAATTGAGCCACAAACTGCTTGTGATTGAAAGTATTAAGAAATATTAATAAAAGCTAATTAAAGAAGATTTAAAAAAAACAAAAACAAAAACAAAAAGCTAAACTGATAAGGTGATCCAATCCAATAAAAAGCCCATAGTCGTTAGATGCTCTTTAAGGCCTTAGTGATGGGGATTGATCAGCCCATTATATGATCTGAAATTCATTATGCTCAACAATAGATTTCTTAAAACAGGCCCAACATCAAAACCTCATTAAGAAAACTCAAAAAATTATAAAGGGTATTAAAGTAATTTAATAATCAAAATTAAATTTAATAAGGCAAACTGTTGTTTTTTAGGTTCGTTTATATAAATTAAATGGTGTAGAGTTTATTTATATCACTAGTGCTAAAAATAGGTAGATAACTAAATATCTCTTTTATTAAGTCTAATATGAATCATAAAATTATATCGAATTCCACGTACGCCCATCAAATAAAATTTGTTTCTAAAAATTATACAATATATGAATATGTTGTATATATAATAAACAAGAAACTATGAATGACGTGAGATAACATAGCAGTCAAGTGTCTGTTCTATTGAAACTGATAATGGACTGCAGCAGAATATATGCTGTTTAATTTAGAACAGCTAAGGAGCCTAATTAGAATGAACTCTGAGAGAGAGAGAGAGAGAGAGAGAGAGAGAGATTTAGAACAAAGACAATTGGACTTCGAAGATAAACAACATACCTGAACTGAAACTCATCATCACCAACAATGGATATGTACTTGATAGTGCATTTCTCTGAAAATATATTTAAAGAGTATCTATACTCCTTAAATTAAAAAAATAAAAATAAATAGCCGAGTGGGTATACTCTTTAAATAATAAAAAAATATATTCCAATAGTATAGCCGAACGGCTATACATCTTATATAAAAAATATATTTAAATATTATAGCCGCACGGCTATACTCATTAAATAAAAAATATATTTAAATCGTACCGCCGCGCGGAATATAGTATTTAAATAAAAAATATATTGTTAAACATTATAGCCGGCCAGCTATACTATTTAAATCGTATAGCCGTGCGGCTATACGTCATAAATAAAAAAATATTTAAATTGTATAGCCTCGCGGCTATATTATTTAATTAAAAAAATATATTAAAAAGTATAGCCGCCCGATATACTCCTTAAATAAAATATATTTAAATAGTATCGCCGCTCGGCTATACGCGTGCAATAAAAATATATTTAAATGGTATAGCCGCTCGGCTGTACGCTTTAGATTAAGATACTCTTATATGATCAGCCCGTTATATGATCTGAAATTCTTTTTTTTTTGGTCAAGGATCTGAAATTCTTAACGGGCAAGTCAAAGCCCAATGGAGAATAGAAAATAGAATGACAAAAATAATAAAATAAAAAAGGTAGAAAACCCTGCTGGATTGAACCTCCTTCTTCGAGAGGCTAAAAACCCTAAACCCTTTGACCCTCTACCGCTAGCGATAGAGAGAGATGGGAAGTACAAGCCAAGACCTTCTACAATTGGAGCACAAGAAGGCCTTAACTTCACCCATTGGTATCGCTTTCTCTCTATCTGTATCTCTCTGGTTCGCTCGCTTTCAGTGCAAACTCATTAGCTCACTGTCTGTGTATTTTCTTGCAGAATCCACACTACTTGTTTGTAAAAATGACTCACAGGCTTGTCAAACAAAGAAGGCTCAACCTGAAGGGAAACCCATCGGTGTTCCTGTTATCAAAAGCCAAGGTACTCGATTTGCCCCCTTTTAAATTTTGTTTCTTTGTTCCTTTTTTTAATTTGTTGTTTTTGTTAAGAATGTGGATTCTGCAAGCAAGTACAATAGAGATACAGGTGTAGAAAGATCATTTATGTTATTGGGTCATCCTCAAGTATTCTCAAAATTTGTCACAAAAGGCTTTATCTTTTCTTTTTCTTCGAAGTATTTTCTTCAGAGCTAGTTCGTAGGATTAAGCTATGAACATTTCAATTTAAAGGAAGTTGATTTATGTATTCGTGGTAAGAGTTAAAATCTAAAATACCACTATGGCCGTGTTCGGCATGTGTAGAGGTCTTTTCTTTTTCTATTTGGTAAATTTTTTCTATGTTGGCTTTGTACAGGGCCAACGAGTTGATGTTTAATCCTCCACTGGGTTTATGATTTGGGTGATGTGTGCTTAATTGCTTATACGAGGTCTTGGTTATATTCAGCTGTCAGCATAACATCTTTGCAGCCTGTCTACTTTTTGAAATTTCCTATGTTTTATATTTTATTTACAAACTTGCAAATTGGCTAAGTTGTAGTATTTTGGTTTAGAAGGATGTGATTCAAGTCTCCTGTAATTGAATTTGTCTCATTCATTTTGATGTTGTGCTGAATTTTCATCAATTAATTTTACGAGATGAGATAATTTTTTTGTGCTGCCTACTTTTTTCTTAGCACCTGAGATATTATCTTCTTCCTCTTTTGGTTTCTTGGAAATAATTTTTATTGAGATGAAGGAAAACAAATCATGTTTTTCAGTAAACATAAGTACTTCTTTGTCTAGGTGTTAAACCCTCCTTCAGATGGGCTTGAAATCTGTGTTCATGTTGATCCTCTACAACCTGTTCATTACCTTACCTTGTAATCCTGTTGCTCATATGGTTTCCTTATGCATATTTTCTCCCACTGGAACTTCTACCTTTAAAAGACCATAGAGGATTTGTGCAATTTGGGCTTTAGAATATGTCCCAAGCTTTTGTTTCTTTGTTTAAATAAAAACTTAATTGATGATCAGACAATGTCAAGGTAGAAGATTGAAATAGATTACAGAGCATTGTAACATTGAAACTTGAGGCTGGACTGAGATGGATGTTTCGAACTGTTTTCCCTTACCTCTTTTTTATTGGGTGAAACAGTAGTTTGCACTTCGTCATGGACTTGAGATTCTTCAGTTGTCTCTGCTTCTGTTTTGTTTGTAGTGTTGTTTTCTTAGAAATAACTTGGATAATGTTGCTCATTTTCATTGCTTGTCTGCAGTTTTGGGAAAAATAAGGGATTTCTTGGGAGTCATATCAGAAGCTAATGAAAGATTAGAAAAGGATGCAAAGGTTGGTACATTGGTCCTGCACCCCAAGCTAGATTGTTTATCCCGATTCCAACGTACTTTTCAAATCATAACCTGTGTTTACTCATTTACTTGTATGTAGGATAATTCAAAAAACTATGATATTGAAGCGCTCACTGGAAATGAATCTCAAGTCATTGAAATGGTCTCTCTCTCTCTCTGTCTCTCTCTCTCTGTCTCTCTCTCTGTCTCTCTCTCTCTCTCTCTCAGACACACACACATACACAGAGGGGATTTATTTTGGGTGGACCTGAATTGACAGGATTTAATGCTGGGTGTTGCTGATCTTCAAACTCCCGAGGCTGTGGCTGCTGCGGAATCTGCTATTTCTGGTTATCAGCCTGTTATACCATTGGCCGTCAGCAGTAGTGAAGAGGAGTCACAGGATAGCAGTAACAACGATAGTAGCAGTGATGAGGATGAGAATGATAGTAGCAGTGAAGAGGATGAAAGTGATGGTGAGGATAAGAAAACATCCTCTCCTGTCAAACTCAAAACACCCAAGTCTGACAAAGATGATTCGAGTGATGTTCGTAACACCCGGTCCAAAAAGCGGCCAAAAATTGTTGAGCTTCCTTGAAATGATGTGAGATCTAGTTCTCGTATCTGTGCGTTTCAGGAATTATCAATTTATTGTAATAGTTGGGCAAGTCTAAAGACTTCCACACTGTGCGAAGGAAATATGATGAACGGTTCTGGGAGTTATCTATAAAAAGTTGTCTAACTGTGGTATAATTTAATACGTAATTTCTTTTCACCCGAGTCTGCAGAGTGAATTCTAAGTTATTTGCCACCAGAACAAAAGAAAAAGATTACCCAAGTAGGAAGACAATTCCGAAGGTAAATATGCCTTTACGATCACTCAAAGGAAAAATATTTAGAGGACCACTTTGTATTATGCCCTTGTTAGAGGGAAGACTCATTCCAAGATGGACATTATTTTCTCCCTATTTTATTTGTTTCATTGAGGACTATACATGCATTGTCAAATTGACCAAAAAAAATAAATAAATCAATACATGCATTGGCAAAATAAAAAATAAAATGTGTTGGCTACATTTTGTGCATACATTCGTACGTAATACATTATAAGTTAAAACTAGAAGGGAATTGTTATTGGCACTCCAAAATATGTATCAGTGCATCAAATTATAGTTGGTTCATCAAATATGTAGATTAAAGCCACAGTAAAACCACTACAGTAGAACCATTATTATTCAAATTTCTTGCTAATCAACAAGCAAAGTACACTTTGAAAGTTGAAACAGTTGATCAAGACAACCTCAAAACGAACCAAAACATAAAAATACACTTGGTGACTAAAAGCAAGGAGTGCACCATCACTTATTTTATCAAAGGAGGCTTTGTCTAATTATCACATATCACCTTATTTTTTATTTTCACCTTATTAATTAGCAGGCATCCATTCCATTAATTGCTTAATCAAATCCGGATTAAGCTTAAGCCTCCTTAATTAATAAGGACGCTGCCCAACATAGTTGCCAGGAGGGTCATAGTTGCAAGTCGCAAACCACCACCCATTGCTGCACTGAACCCTAGCACACCCCAGCCTAACAGAGTTTTTCCAAACCACTTGAGTATAATGCAGGCACTGCTGCCCTCCAACGCAAGAGTTTGAGGTGTAGTTATAGTTAGGCTTCTCTGCCACCCACAAGTTCACAGCAGCTGTGCCTGTAAATGAGCCACTCCCCTTGGCCAAGTTCTCACCATAAGTCCCATTTGAATGCACCAGGTTGCAATCTGCAGCACTTGAGTTGGCATAGTTCTGAGCATAGGCCTCGACGGTGCTGTCCCACGTGATGTTCGGGACGCCGACTTGCTTACGTGCCACGTTGTGTGCATTGAGGTAGTCTTGCTGGGAGTTTTGGGCTGGGAGGGATGAAGCACCAGAGACGGGAGACAAAGAAGTACAATACACAAAGCCATGTTGTTTGATTTTTCTGTGTACCAAATGATTATGTAACTTGTGTGAGGATTGCACTGTCAATGTGACATTCTTAGGCTATTTATAGGAAGAAGTACAATTAAATAACAGATTATTTATGGACCGTTAAGGGAATATAATATGAAAAGTATTTTATCAAAAGGATACATGTCACCATTTAAAGCAACCAAAGTCATCAAAAACTTTCCCCTTGGTCTTGCATCACAAAACTATACGGTCACCTTCAGCTATGTGTTATATATATATAGCAAGTGGTGCATTGGTCACTACGACTTGCATGCTTTTATTTTTCTAAAAGAAGCAACTTCATTACAAAAAAAGAAAAAAAAGAATGAATGTGTTACTTCCAGTTTGAACTTCGTCAATTGAAAGTACTTTGTATCTCAATATATATTGCTTAATCTTTACACATGTTAATCAGAGAATTCGTAAGGGGTTTGTAGTTCAGTGGTTAAGAGTGTTTACCTATGCATCTAAGGTCTTGAAGTTCGATTTCCTCCTCTTCAAATATCGCATGTAAAAAAAAAAAATTAGAGAATTCTCTAGCCCGGCCCAACTCAGAAAAAAAAGTGAAAAGAAACTCTAAAGTTAAGGCCCAGCCAAGGCCAGCATAGGCTAGCTCCAGCCCTCATCTGAGATCAGAATAAGGCCCAAATATTCTGGACAGAGTGTGAGTCATGTCCCAAATTGCCAATCATCATTTGTGGCTAAGATATCAATGAAGATGTGTTTAGGTGGGATTCAAACTTCCAGCCTATTCTAACATTCGAAAGAAATTTATCATTAAATCAAAATTTAGTTGGTGAAATGTGTATAAATGTTTAAACATCAATTTTATGTGTTTGGTCAAAATGTTTGGAGAGTTTGGGGTCCAGTTTTAGCTGAATAGAATCGGAATCGAAATCGGTCTGAACCGATTCGGTTCGGTTTTTCAACGGTTGTTTTTGGTTGCTTCAGTTTTTTTCGATTTTTTAGAGTTCAACTCAACTCGGTTATCTGGTTCAGCAATTCATATGCCCACCCCTAGTGTGGACACATATTTTGTGTTTGACACAAATTCTTATACGTGATTATTATACATTCAGGTGATGTTACAATCTACACATTATTACACATGTTTTATTTATTAATAAATCGAAAAATACAACACGTAATATCACACAAAATAAATTTATGCATTTAGAAGTGGACAAAGTTAATATACCTCATTGGCATGACTTGTCTCTCCCTATCTTTTGTCAATGACTAATAGTAATAGATGCGGTTTCCGTTGACCAAAAACAAAAAAGATCCATTGACGGCCAACCTCCTTTGCTCAAGCTGCATAGACAGCCAAGAGCTAGTCTTCTGATGGCATTTGGGCAAGGAAAAGATGGACCGTGTCTAGGCTTTGGTCAAGGATGAAAATGTGTGGTGCTGCAATGTGGAAATTTTTTTCTTCTACGGGTCCAAATGGATTTAAGAAAATGTTAAAAGATGCAATAATTAAACCCATTAATTCTTCTGTTGGAAAAAAACCTAACTCAAGTTGAGACTAAACAATTTTTCTCCGAGTAATGCTACATATTTACCATGTTTTCATCCCACATTTTTATACCACATAATGTGGCATGTCCATATCATATGTTACATCAATTAAATCAATGAAACATATTTTAATTAAGAATTAGAAAAATAAATACTCGACGAAATCATAAAAGAAAAAAAAATGTTAAATAATTTTAATTGATGTGGCTGTCCATATCAACTGTTACATAAGATGGTATAGGAATGTGGTATACAAATGTGATAAGAGTAGTATTACTAAATAATTTTTCTCCTCCTACCATTTACAACTTTCTATCTATCGAAAACATGCATATTAATTTTACCGGCTTCATTTTCGTTCGTTTCTTCATTTCCTAGAGGAAAAGGGTAGCTAGAGATTGATTTAATTTCGTTTGTAGAAATTAAATAATCATTGTGTTTTCTGTTCTTGTAAGCCATGCGATACCATAAGATACATTTCAAACTTGGCTTAAAATTTAAATGCAAGCCATGCGATACCATAAGAATATTAAAGGAATAATGGCATCTTAATTCTTTGATTGTCCGGCGCCATTTAACAATTGGGTCCATGGTCTCAATGATGGCTCTTGACTGATCTTGAGTGACTTTTGGCCTACCTTTCTAGGCTTATCCCATGTAGTGCTTCTGCCATCACACAAGACTTGACTCGACACCCCTTCCATCGACTATAGAATAGAAAGCTTTAATTATATCCTTGATTCCTAACAACACAATCAGATAACTAAATTGGATGCTTCCTCAATACAATATTGACTTGTAAAAACCCAATATGGAGGTAGATTAGGATAAATATTTGTTTATGACTCTAATGAGAAACACTTGTGTTTGAAAAAGGAAAAAAAGGGAAACACTTGTGTGAAACGGGAATAGTACTGTTTTATTATTTTCAGCCAATCACAATATGTCATGTGTGATAATTTTTTTATGTGGCAGTCTGTGATTGACTGAGGATAGCAAAACAATGTTATCTCTGTTTCACACAAGTTCTTCTGAAATCTAAACACCACCCCTTATTATTTAATTTTTTATATTATAACACGTGACAGTAAGGAGTACATATTTTAAAACTCTCGTTTTCATGGTCGCTAAGGATCAAAGATTATAATGGTCACCTACCGTTAGATCTAATACAATGGTGAATACTAATCTACAAAGTTCAATGCTTAACCCACCCACTCCTTCTCTCATCGTGTCACGTCTGGCCGTTCAATCTCCAAACTAGCCTCCTTCTTCCTTTTTGGGGTAGGGTTTTCTCTCTTATTAATTATTGGTTTTACATTTTCTGACGTGGTTTTAAGCTCTCAGATTACTTTGTCACAGAACTATTAGGTTTAGAATAACGATATTAACATTACCAATAAAAACAGTTATTCTGGAAAATTGTCTAGAAAGTCATAATGAAGTTTTTTTTAAAAAAAAAAAGAAGAAGAAGGAAAATCATAAAAAAATTTCAACACATTCCTTTGTCAGATAGAGTACAAGAGGATGAACTTTCTGCACTAGTCGAGGAAACGAAAAATCCAAAGGAAATAAGAAAAATTAAAACTTGAAATCAAGGAGGGATAGAAAGAGGGTTCAGCCGTACCCAACAATAAAACCACATTGACTTCAGATTCTCATTAACTCTTCCATGGAAGTGACAAAAAAAAGAGACAACGAGGAAGTTAAAAACCTATATGGAGGTTTGCTTCAATGGAGGACAGAGGTCATCTTTCTAGAGAAGGCTGAGTTGGGTCAGCATAATTTCTTTTCACTATAATAACCGGGCAGCATAATTAGGCAGTGTTTTTTTACACCTCTGAGAGCCTTTTTAATTATTGGAAGAAGCTTATGAATATAATATATGAATTTGAATCAATTGTCCCTCGATCTAGTGGTATTTCTCTTCCAAATGTTAGACGAGATTCCAAGTTCCCCTATCTTCTTTGTCGAGAAATATATATGAATCTGTATAGAAGACAAATGAGACGTTTTCCACAAAACTTCATGGAATGCAACATAAGGACGAGTTTACAACTTAATTGTAAACTTTAAGAAAATACCAAATTTTATTCTCATATATTAAAAATGAAAACTCTTATTAAAGTACTGTAAGCTTTCATTTAGCCACAAGAGGTTTGCTAATAGCTAAATCAGTAAGGCTTCTGGCCAATATAGTTGCCTCGGGGATCATAATTGCACCCAATGAAGGTACCTCCATTGTTGCACCTAACTTTGGCACATCCTACACGAGCTGAGTTGCGCCAAACAACCTGAGTATAATGGCCACACACCTTGTTAGGAGCACAGGTGTTTGAGTTGTAGTCATAGTTGGCCTTCTCTGCCACAAACAAGTTCACCGCAGCTGTGCCGGACATGTCACCGCTACTCTTCGCTATGTTTTCGCCATAAGGCCCGCCAGAGTGCACAAGATTGCAATCACCTTTACGGGAATTGGCATATCTTTGTGCATAAGCTGCTAGGTTTGGATCCCACGTTAAGGCTTGAACACCTACTGCCGCTCGAGCGGCATTGTGGGCATTGAGGTAGTCTTGTGGTGAGTCTTGGGCAAGAGTGGGTTGGAGGAGGGCTAAACTAGGAGACAAACCAAGGCAAATGACATCTTACACAACCCCATGTTATTGGTTTGCAGTCTCTTTGCATGATATTTTGTTTGGTGTTTATTGATGGGAAATGAGAGATATAACATGGAGTATTTATAAGGAAAATGTTAGGGCTGATAGACAATTGGAGAGAAAAACTTGGGCGGAGAATTCTGTCAACTTGACAAGCTAGGTCTATGGCACGTCTTATTACCTAGTCACAAAAATATTTAATGTGTTATTGAATCGCTCGCTCTTTCTTTGCAGTGTTATTATCTGTTTAATTAGAGATATGTTGCAACATGGTGATCAATTTACAACCGAGACATAGGACCGAGAGAGAGGATGTGGATTGGGGGGGGGGGGGGGTTGGGATTTTTATTGTTTCTATTGTCTCGGGACAACCCCCCTCGGTAACCGCCACCCCACACAGCGCCAGGAGAGGGCAAAGTGAGATGGACCTGTAAATTACAATCAAGCCCATGAGTCCTCCAACACACAAAAAGCTTTTGTCCTAGATTGGTTTTTCTCCATTGACTATTATGAAAGGAGAAGGACCCGCATGTTACGGGGATAATACAGTTTTGTTATTCCTATTCATAAGAATTCTGCATTTTTTTTTCCTTCTTCAATAAACCAATCCAAAGTAAGTCGGATGCAATTTTTTTTTTCTTGAGCAAACGCCAATTTTATTTATTCATTTGTTTTCTTTTTTTAATATATATATATATATATATTTTCTTATTTAGCTCTCTCTGTAATAGTAAGATCAGTAGCAAACTCTAGGAGAAAGAGGCTGCATGACACATGATTAGAGGTATAATTAACTTTTATTTGTTTATTTAATCGATAATTTGATATTGATTTGTTTATTTAATTGATAAATTATAGTCAATTAGTCATAGTTATAGAGTTTATATCCTCCAAATAATTATACAGTTATGCAATTGCTTTGGTTGAGAGAGCTTTGAATATTGTGAAAACACCATTGCCTAACAAAATAGGGAATCAATGGTTGAGTGATAGCTTGGTTGTTTACATTGAGAAAAATATTTTTTCTTATATTAGTAATGAAATATAATATGACGTTTTCATGATATGAAACTTCGTCGGCAACAATTGTAGGTTAATTGTAATGTTATTTTTTTCAATTAATTATGAATAACATTAGTATTGTTTAAAGTAGAAGGATATTTAGTTGTCTATATAAATTTTTTTTTTCAGCTCTTAGCCTTTAAAAATTGCACTTCTATGAAAAATTCATGAGTCTGCCACTGCCCATCGAAATTACACTTTGCCATGTGGAATCCTATTACTTGGGATGGAGCGTAACTGATTAAAAATAGCAAAATAGTGCTATCCACATGATATATAAGTTTTTCTCAGGAAATCTTTGGTCAAGGATAAGCAAGTGGGGTTTAGGAGGCATGCATGTGGAGTATGTATTGGAATATAGTGTGGAAATTTTTCTTTCAATAATTAAGGTCCTTTTTCCTTGCATTCATTTTTCGTCCTTCTGCTCTGAGGGAAAGGGTAGAAATTGGTTGAATTGTCATGGTAGGAAATTGGTTGAATTGTCATTGTCGTCCTACAATTCTTGTAGAGCATAATAGACATTTCAAACTTTTCCTAAATGGTCTCGGTCAAGAGATTATGGGCTTGTTTGTTAGGGAGGATTAGATTAGACTAGACTAAACTAACAAAATGCCTATATTTTATGTGCATTTTAAGGCATAATATGGATATTTTGCCTAACTTGGAGGAATAATGGGGACTATCTATAAGATGTTGATTACTAAAACTTATCCCCCTAATCTCCTTGAAAATGGTGAGATTATAAGAGATAAGTTTTAGTCATCAACCTCTTATGAATAGTCCTCCTTCATCCTCCAAGTTAGACAACAATATCCAAATTATGCCTTAATTGCACATGAAATGTAGATATTTTGCTAGTATAGTCCAGTCTAATCTAGTGCTTCCTAACAAACTAAGCCAGTCATAGAATAGCACATATCTTAGCTCACAAATATTTTGTGCAATGTAATTGGGTGGGTCGGTAGCAACTAGTTAGGTAGGATTGAGGGCAAAGGCGGAGACAATGAAGGTTATCTGACCCTTCTGAAGGTCCCCTAATTAACCCTACATTTGTTTATATTTACCTTTTGTTTATAATTTATTCTTAAAATCTGACTTTGACTGAAGTTCCGCAAGCTATTATAACTTCAATTTTTTTTTCTTTACTTTTTTTGATAACTTAAGAATTACTAACCTAAAACCACTTTTTTATTTATGATTTATTCATTCCATTTCTTTTGGTTGTCATTCCCTCTCACATATCACCCCCTAAAATTGCAAACGAAAAAAAAAATCTGTAAATTACATATCCAATAATGTACTATGAAAAATATAAATATATTATTTAAATAAAATATAGGTATATTATTAACCAAATTTAAAAAAAAAACTAAGTCAGTTACTTTGTAATTGAAATTTCCATACATTTTTCATAAATTAAAAATAGGTACACAATAATTTATAGAAAATATAGGTATAATATTTACCCATAGGTAAACTATTTTACAATATACCTATAAATTTGCATAGGTACATTATTTGGAGAGGAAAAATAGGTTCATTTAAAAAAATACGCACATTGTTTTACTAGGTACATTATTTGGAGAGAGAAGATAGGTTCATTTAAAAAAAATTGTTTTTCATAAAACAAATAATAGGGTACGTACTTTATTCAGAGAAAAAAGGGAACATTATTTAGAGAAAAAAAGGGTTCATTTAATAAAATGTTTTTCATAAAATAAACAATAAATAGATTATCAAAATATTTTTCAACATAATTAGAATGTGCACTATTATTCATGAAACTATAATAAAATAGATTACTAGTAGTATAATTCATAAAAGGAAAACAACATAATTTTTTTATTAAATAAACCAAAACGTTAATCACCTATAGATTACTAATACATTAATGTTGAATTTAATATTTAATTTCAAATACATTTCTAAATTAATTCCTACATCCATTAAAACGATTTGGAGATCTTTCCAAATTTAAAGTGTGTCATTAGTTACACCCCCATATAATACGTTAACTTGTAAATAGGGGTAGTTTTGGAATCCGAAAAATATAATAAATCATATTTTAATCTAAATTAGGTAACTTGCTTACTTGGATCCTAGTAATCGGGTTTTATTTGAAAAAATTGAGTATTTTAAATAGAAAAATAAAGGAAAGAGTTGTAGGTGATTAAAAATAAATTTTAGCAAAAATTAGGTAATAAAAAAATATATATGTGGTCTCAACTTGTTAGCCTTTGGATTATTATTTAATGTGGTGGCAAGTTTACGATAAAAATCAAGCAGATCTGTTTTCGGAAAACACTGAAAATGAAATCACTGAAAACAACTTTTTTTCATTTTCAACTTTTGTTCACAAAGTCAGATTTGTTTTCAGAAAACGTTTTGTGAGGTAAAACGAAACGATGCACCGAACGTGTTTTTGTGAAAAACAGGAAACAAAAACAGAAAACAAGCTCTAAAAACATTACCGAACGGGCCCTAAGTTTTTCTCAGGAAATCTTTGGTCAAGGATAAGCAAGTGGGGTTGTAGGAGGCATGCATGTGTAGTATGTATTGGAATATAGTGTGGAAATTTTTCTTTCAATAATTAAGGTCCTTTTTCCTTGCATTCATTTTTCGTCCTTCTACCCTGAGGGAAAGGGTAGAAATTGGTTGAATTGTCATTGTAGTCCTACAATTCTTGTAGAGCATAATAGACATTTCAAACTTTTCCTAAATGGTCTCGGTCAAGAGATTATGGGCTTGTTTGTTAGGGAGGATTAGATTAGACTAGACTAAACTAACAAAATGCCTATATTTTATGTGCATTTTAAGGCATAATATGGATATTTTGCCTAACTTGGAGGAATAATGGGGACTATCTATAATAAGTTGATTACTAAAACTTATCCCCCTAATCCCCTTGAAAATGGTGGGATTATAAGGGATAAGTTTTAGTCATCAACCTCTTATGAATAGGCCTCCTTCATCCTCCAAGTTAGACAACAATATCCAAATTATGCCTTAATTGCACATGAAATGTAGATATTTTGCTAGTATAGTCCAGTCTAATCTAGTGCTTCCTAACAAACTAGGCCAGTCATGGAATATATAGCACATATCTTAGCTCACAAATATTTTGTGCAATGTAATTGGGTGGGTCGGTAGCAACTAGTTAGCTACGACTGAGGGCAAAGGCGGAGACAATGAAAGCCCACAAGGGTTATCTGACCCTTCTGAAGGTCCCCTAATTAACTCTGCATTTATTTATATTTACCTTTTGTTTATAATTTATTCTTAAAATCTGACTTTGA